TCTTATTGGCTAATTCTCACATCTTGCTTAACCCATTTCTAATTATCTGTGTGGCACCACAAAGTTGTGGCTTACCAGGAAGATTCTAACCTGTCTCCATCTTCGGCAGGAGGTTCATCGCATCTGCCTCACTGCCTTCTACCCAGCACCCTGTTCTGTTTACTCTGCCTACCTAATTTTCTGTCCTATCAAAGGGTCAAGGCAGTTTCTTTATTAACCAATGAAAGTAACGCATAGACAGATGAACCTTTTCCATCATGTTAATAAAATACATTTGGATAATGTTATAATTATAATTAGTTAGCCTGTCCCTTTTCCTTTGTCATAAATTATTAACTCATTAGTCATTAAATTAAACAAATTTTCTTCCCCAAATTATCAGGTAATAATAACCTTGAATATTTTTCTTATTGATTTAGTTCCTATTGAAATAATGAATAAAATAATACATAATCAAAGCTAACACTAAAATCATAATTATTTGATTATGTAGATTAAAGTTAAATTATGTAAACAATATACATGACGTGGTAATTCTTGAGTTAACTTTTTTTTCTTGTTGAAAGATGCAAGTTTTTATTTAGAAACTATACATAGTACTGTCAACTAAGAGAGAGACTGAGGAAATATTAGAAAATGGTTGAAAATGAAAATACGATAAGGAGGTGGTGTCAGTGAGATGAATACCCAGAAACATGCCAGGTATTGACAACAGCAAGAAACATTGCCTAAAAGCTTTACCGTTGGCATCACAAAGAAGGACCAGTGATATATTTAACAGGTCTTAGTATCTTTGAAATTAAACACACGCACTTTTCAAAAGGCCTATTCCTATCATCATCATCAGAAATAACCCTTAATTGGTCCTAATCCAAAGGATTTCAGCCTTGAAATCCATACCTATATCCTTTATAAAAGGAAGTCACATGAGCTCTGATATTTTAAGATTTGCTACCACACCAAACACAGTTCAACCAGATCACAGCTACATGGTTTGAATGGACATGGCTGTCATATGTCATGACATAGCAAGCAGGGACTGCAAAGGGCCTGAAACAGTAAAGTCATATCTTCACCTTGATACTCAAGCACATACAGGCAAGCAAAAGCCAACTTGCTTTCAAAATTCATATGCTATTGTCTTTATTTTTTCTTATTTATTATGTATAATATATAACATTTGAAGATTTACTTTTAAGGACATTTTAAGAAGTTTCAGGTGTGAATACGTGAATAGTTGTCTAAACAGAAAACCTTATAAATCTCAATTGATGATATTTACTGAAAGTAAATGACAATTTTTTCTAGTTATTACTTCTGAGTACTGTTTACTTAACTCATTAAAATAGTAATAATACAAAACTGTCTTCACCTTTGGATATAAAGTTTTCTGAAAAACTACAGGCTCTATGTGGAAAGACCATTGGAATTTAACCAAGGATTCTAAAAGCTACTTTAAATTTTATTTCTGGGCAATAACACTTTTTTTTGGATAATGTAAGAATGGATCCAGAAAAAAAATCCTTCTATAAATGTAGAAATTTTGAACAAACTTTTAGGAAATTTTAGAAATTGTGTATGTGATTTCCATGTCAAATATCCTGATTTGGACATGGGAAAGGAAAATAGGAAAGTCAGTATAAGTTAGATTACTGTGTTAGTTTCTCTATGTGAAGGATTGGTTATTTGTTTTTAAGTAATAAAAATTGGAAATTATATTCTTTTTAGTAGTTCAACAACTAAAGAATGACTAACCAATCAAATGTCAACTAGAATCTCATTTATTGTGAAGTGACTGAGCCGGTTCACCTGGTAGCTTCCACTGTGTTAACCATTGCTCTTTCTGTCTTTGAAAGTCAACAGCTGGGAAAGTGAGGGCAGCCAAGATCACAATTTCAGACTAACCTATTGCCTTGGCTTTTGCTCTCCTTTCCCCTGCTGCTATGCTCTGTAGCTGTCAAACAGTAATAAAGTAGATGCCAGACATGAACTAGAGAGTTAGTACTGAGGTAGACAGGAAGACAGCGAAGGCAATAACAGGCTTTACCATTAATTTGCACAGAATCCTGTGGGTTTTTTTATACAACTTTCCAGAGAACTTCCTAAAATATCCTATTTATTAACAGATGAACATGAAAATTGAAAAGACCAACTGAAAAGGAATTCCCGAATTCCCCCAACACTTTCATGATTCTTCTCAAATTTTTATACTGAATTTTTTATATTTCTTTTTAAAAGCTGAGTGTAATTATTATGTTCTACTACAGGCTTGATTTTTGTTCAGTAATAAGCAGATAACTTTCATAAGTGTAAAAGTACCCTGAGTGAATTTTTAACACTCCAAAAAAATGTTATTTTTTTCTGGTATATTTTAATGAACATAAAAAAGTCTATGCTGAAAACAAAATATATTATCAGTGTTATAGAAATCAACTCATAATGTTTTCAAAATATTTTTTCCTTATTCTTTATGGTCCTTTTGTTTTGTTACAGATTGTCAAAAAGTATCTCATTTCTATATATGAGTATATATGGAACATCTGAAAGATTTATACCAATAGCACATTAAAAATGGCTAAAGAAGTAATTAAAATATAGGAATATAAAAATAATCTTGTTTTTGTATACCAAACTGGATTTGCTAAGAAAGGAATGAAGAAAAAAATCTTATTCACACAAATTTTTAAAAATCAATAAATAAATGTTTATTAAGTGCCCATGAATAGTTTCAGTGGAAATAATTGAGGAAAAAAAGCACAGCACGTGCCTAATGGCTTGAGTATCAGCTACAAAACAAGTTCTACATGTGTTATATACATACACTAATAATAATAATATACATAAAAATAATATACATTGAAATAAATTTAGTCATGAAAACAATGAAAATTAGAGTCCAAGTATAAAATCTTTGGAGAAAAAAAATGACAAAAGGAAATACTTAGTATTTAGGAACTGTATGATTTAACACTGTTAAAATACCTACAGTATCAAAGTATTTCACTGATTTAATACTGAACTCATCAGAATACACAGGAAATTTTTAATAAATACATAAGCTACAACCTAAATTCATCTGAAAACTCAAAGGACCCCAAGTAAGCAAAGCCACCTTGACATGCGGACAGGTAGGCAGGAAGAAATCAGTCTTTTTGTTGGCAGCCAATAGCTCCTCAGAAAAGTTAGTGTGTGTGTGTGTGTGTGTGTGTGCATTGACGAAAGTATAAGCCACTTATAACTAGTGCTGGCATGGTAAACTATATATTCGTAAGCAGATTAATGATTACTATCTCTTACTTCTTTCAAACCATCAACTCAAAACAGATGAAAAATCTAAAAGTAAAATCTGAAATGATTATGAGAAAACATTGGGGGAACAGTATCAGTTATTAAATGAGCAGTGATTTGGGATATAAGTCCTCAAAGAAAGAAAAAGGATAGAAAACAAAGAAAATGTAAAACTGGAAGTCTCTACCCAGGAGACAATGCACATAGTAAGAAGACAATCTATTCAGTAAGAGAAAATACAAGTGAATTAATATTTACCAAGGAATTCATATCCAGACATGGTTACAATCTAAAAGGGACTCATCAACCAAAACCTTGATGCAACTAAATAAGCTAAAAATTATCTAAAACAGACTTCAATTAAAGAAGTTATACAAAAGGCAAACAAGTTTAAGAAAAAGTTCTCAACAAGACTAATTACCAAAAAAAAAAAAATGAAAATCAAAATTGTGAGACTCTATACAAGTTCAATCACTTAAAAAGAAAATCGGCATTGCCAATCAGAATGCAGAGAAAGGGGGCTTCTAAACTGCAGTATAAATGTATACTAGTACAGCATAATAGAAAACCATATACAAGGTACCAAGATTCTCTCTCTCCTCTCTCTCTCTCTCCTCTCTCTCTCTCTCACTGCTAACTAGCACAGTTACTAAATACCTTTCTAGAATTTAGTCTTCCAACCAAGAATGAAGTGAAGTAAAAGAATCTTTCTTTGCACACATGAGCAATATTAGCACATGCATATTAATTGCACAAAAGTCTGTGATATGAAAATGGATATGTACAGAGAAGACTATTTCAAAGTTTCTATAATTTGAAGATTATAAGAAAATGTGAAACATTCACTGGAAAAAATGAGGCTAACCAATTCCTTCCAAAATATGCTATAAAATGGTCTGGTCTCCAATTAAAAGTTGACAAATAGAGGTCTTTCCAAGCAATGTATGAAGATCAAATCAAGTTGGACAATACATTTTGTTCTGTCCTTTTGAGAAAACAGATTCAGAACTTCTGTTGGGCTGAGTGGATTAATGTGTAGAAGACCATTACTTTGATAATCATTGTTGGAGATGTGGAGTGAGGAAGAATCACTTCTATAAAGTGTTCTATGCTCTGCTAAAGTCACAAGGTCATAAGGAAGGATGACCTGGGGAAGAGCTGCCATTGTAGTGCTGATTTGATGACTTTGGGGTCATTTGCCTAACCTGCTAAAAGGATTTTCTGGGAGAGAGAACTGTTACTGGGGACAAAGGGCAACTGAGCTTATCATGATTCCATGAGTCTACAATGTTGAAATTAGAAATTTTGGAAAATATTGGAATCATAGTCAGTTTTTCCACATATGATTTCATTGTCACACAGAGGCTAAAAGGAATTCAAAACTATGAGAGGAAAGGGAATAATTCTGCACTACTTGCTAAAGTTACAAAATGACTGTTCAAGGAAGGGGTCTAAATTGTATTCTCTAAAGTTATTGACAACACTGTTGAGTAACTGAGTTGAATTAGACTACTACAGAAATGACTCCTACCAACAGAGGAATATCATCTGACATTTGCATTTAAAGTTTCCAATCATGCATTTCCTAAAGAATACGCCACAATATAATCACTTTAGTTGGGAAGGCACGAGACATTGGGACGCCAAAATAATTATTAACATGTAGTTTCTGCAACTAATGATATTTACTGTAGTATGAACACATGTCTTACTTCCGTAAGATGGCCAAAAGTTGGTTTTGCTGTTTGAATCATCAGTTCCTTGGTCACTGGGTCCAATGCTATAGAAAAAAATAGATATATAATAATAACGTTATTAGAAATTATTTTAAAAATAATAAAAAGTCAACTAATTCATCCGCCATTAATGAGTGAAAATAAAAAACAAAATTGTATTTTCTTTAATAATTAAATTGATTTATTGATTCATCCCAAATAACAGTCACAGAAAAGCACATCATCCCACAGAATTGGAGCATAATGATTCAGTCTAATTGTCAGAGTACACATATTTATAATCAAAAGTTAACATAATTTCTGGCCTATTCTTAGAAGAGCTACTTCCATGACAGAGCATTAAAATCCTATCGTTTTAAGCATTCCATGCTTCTAAGATAAGGGCAGGTGAATCAAAGAGGAGACATGCAATTTTTCTTTCAAACGTTTGACTGTGGGAGAGATAAAAGAAGTTTTTTATAATTATACTACAAACAGAGTAGAATGTGTTGTACATGGAAGTTAAAGGAAAGTACGCATGTAAGCATTTGGGAATGTCTAGATTGTAGAACATAAAAGCACTCCAGGATGGCCAACTACCCTTTACGGTTCAGACTTAACACATTTAGAAGGTATTAAAAAAATGTATTCTGAGTCCTTCGCAGGACTGAAAACTGCCTCTGAACTGTGTTGAAGCTGACAATCCATGTTTTTAAAGACAGAGGAGGTCTTCTCGGAAGACAGAAGAGAGTAGGCTTCAGAAATCCACAAAGCAAGTAAAAGAATGACCAAAATGTGTAGAGAAAGGTGGGCAACGCTCTCATTAGTAAGCCTGAGCTGAGTCTGGAGGCTAACACTGATAGCATGAAGTCTCCTGGAGACCAAGGCAAGAAGATTTTCTGTGAGTTCAAGGCAAGCTGAACCAGATAGTGAGTTGCTGGACAGCCTGGAATAAAAAGTAAGATACGATAAGACCAACCACAAACCAGCACATCAAGGCTGGGAAACCTGTTTTTATGGGATCACTATTGCCCAGAGATAGGATAAAGCTAGGGTGGCTGTTGCAAACAGCAGGAAAGGGAGACATTGACAGAATATCAAGCCTTAGTTCAGGAAGGTATTAAAAAGATGAGACCGCCCGCTTCTGTTTACCAGGTTCAGAGATAACAACCAAATTAATCTTGAAGTTTGGTAAATCTTTACTCTTTTGTTTTAAACTCAGGCCCTTCCTTCTAGTCTTTCTGTTTTACTTTGGGTAACCATGTTCTCGCTTTTACCCTGCACCATTCCTTTGCTTCATTCATATAGTAATTCCATATCTGCCTTAAAGAGCTTTTGTTTTTATTTTGAGACAGAGTCTAACTACTTAATCCTGGCTAGCTTGAGACTCACTATGTAGAACAGGCTGGCCTCAAGCTCACTGATATTACCTGCCTTTGTAGGAATTAGAGAATTTTTAACTCCATCACATGTTGTTTGATATTTTTACCATTTGCCTTTTTATGACCATTATTAATACAGTGACATCTAATAAAATTTAAATATATTCCCATATCTTGTATGAGCTTTCTACTGTTGTTATTACAGCAAACTTCTCCACTGTGTGAAACTGAGGACTGAGTAAACATTTGTCTATTCAATGAGAAGATTTCCAAACAAATTCAGAAGAGATCACCAAACCAGTAGATACAAAAACCTCTACACAGACATCAAAACTTAGAAAATATAAACCAATAGATCAAAAATCCTCGATTATTGAACTCAAACTCTCAAATGTCAGAATACTATAAATGCTTACTGGTAAAATATGATCAATATATTTTATAAGAGTTAGAAATAAGAATTTGAATTTAATTTTGGGCCTAGGGAAGAAAGTCAGAATCATGAAGGGAAAAATCATCACTAAGAATGAAATAAGCAACATAGATAAAATTTACTCAGCAACTTAGAAAAATTCATAAAAATGTTGATACTTGAAAGAACATATAGGAGTTCTAAAAGCCATAAATTCAATTAATTAAAAAAACAGAGCTCCCGGTCATCTGGCTAGCTTAGCCACAAAATAACAACACACAAACTGTATTCATTTAAACACTGCCTGGCCCATTAGTTCCAGCCTCTTATTGGCTAACTCTCACACCTTGATTAACCCATTTCTAATAATCTGTGTAGCACCACAAGGTGGTGGCTTACTAGGAAAGATTCAGCATGTCTGACCTGGCGGCTGGCTCCATGGTGTCTGACTCACTTCCCCCTTTCCCAGCATTCTGTTCTGTCTACTCCACCCACCTATGTTCTGACCTATCAGGCCAAGCAGTTTCTTTATTAACTAACCAATGAAAACAACACATAGGAAGAAGGCCCACCTACATTACATCTTGAACAAAAATATTTTAAATAACATGTAAATATGAATATGCGATAAAATAAAGGTCCTATAATTAATTCACAAACCACTTAATTGTTGGAAAAGTTTTTTTATCATTTTTCTCTCTAGACTTAATCTTCATGTGTACTTTGCTTCAATATTCAATATGTGATGAATTAACTGATATTAAGGTAAAATATAAAAAAATTAAGGTAAAACTTTAATGCATACCATGTATCAACAAATCTACTAACCAATCTAAGAGTCATCTTCAAAATTAATATTCATAAAATTTCATGATGAAACATGTTCAAAACCATGAACATGTTTCTAGAAAAATTTTAAAACAATGCAAGCACAAGTTATTCAACTGCCATGTAGCCCTTTTCTTGTTTCTGTAACCAAAACACGAACGTAACAATTTCTTTTGGCTTACAGCTTAAGGTGCCAATCAATGATTGTAAATAAGACATTGTACCAAGTTTAGAGACATGCAAGCAGGAGCAACAGGTTGGTTGGTCACATTATATTCCTGTTCCAGAAGCAGAAAGTGAGCAAGAAGGGGGGTTGGGATATAAAGTCTTTAGGCTTTATAGTGTTAGTGAAGCTCTACAAACTAAATTTCCGCAACCTTTATATCATTGCCACCTGCTGGGAGTCAAGTATTCACACTTGAGCCAAATAGGACAGGGAAGGTTGTAATGTTCATGCCAGAACAACAGCAATCAGGAGCCATTGAAGAAAGGTGAAATAAAAGTATTCAACAACAACATAGCCTAGTGGAAACTGAATATGAAAAATACCAACAGCTAAGGTTACTAGCTGCATTGGGAACTCTAATTCCTATAAGTCTGCCAATATTTCTTCCCTATCAACCCCCACTGACCCTCATTCTTCCTCTCCTTTTCTGTACCATTTAATATGACAGTCCCAAGTATGAGCTTATGCAATGTTGTAATTCAGGAAATTATCAGTAGCCCCTTTATTAGAAATGATGTTGGGTTTGTTTATATCAATAAAATTATTTATAATAGAATAAAGGGATAGACCTAGACCAAGTAGATCTCTGAATAAACTTTATGGTGCCTTTAAGGTGAAGAAGTGAAGTTTTTGGAAATAAGAAATAAGTGGGGATAATTCAGATTTGATCCTGAGTGTTAAATCACTAAATGCCATCCTACAGGACTTTTGTCATTTTGTGTGGTATTTCTAAACTTAATTATTTTTATCATGAACTACACTTAATCTTGCCACAATTTGACAAATGAAAACATGACCAATCAGGAAAACTAAGCTATTAATATTATCAGTATTTAGTCAAGGAATGTCAAACTGGAAGAAATGGATTAGTTAAAATAGATACTTCAGCAAAATTAAGATTCTGTTTCTGCTATTGTTAGCATAAGACAACTAGAGTTATGCTAAGTTTGTCTTGGCTTTGTGGTTTAATGTCTAAACAGAGATACCATATCTCATTGTAAAGGTTACCAACATTATACTCATTGTTTCTTATATGCCAACTCTCCAATATCTATATCATAATGGTCCATTTAATAACTTAGAAGATTAAATAAATTATATCAGGAAAATATCTCCAAATTAAGGTAAGAATTCCTTTTGTAGAATGACCAGATTTCATAATATTAAAATATTTCAAACATTCAGATTCCATTTAATCTAGCAGGACTCATTGCAAAGACAGAAGTCAGAGTGCAAAGAACATATTTCTTTGCTTCACTTGAACCTGGCATGTGCGATTTTCACCCCTTTCTAACATTTAACAGGCATAGATGGGTGCAGAAATGCCAGGTGATTCCATTTCAGTAATTATGGTAGTCATGAAAGAATTATTGTTTCCTCTCCTTTGTAGTTTCGGAAAGTTCTGAGGAAGAACAGCTGGAAAAGTAATGTCAGATTGATCTGCAGGATGTAATTCAAAGGGTCCTGCTGTTAGCCGATTTTCCGAAAGAAGAATGCCCTCAAGAGTTGACAGATTTTCATGAGTGTGTGTATGTGGAGATCTAAAGCTCACTGACTGTGAAAGAAATGGCCTATATCTAAGTTCAGTCTACAAAGAAAGTCATGGTTTTCCGGGAAGAGATACATGATGGTTCACTTATATTCTAAAACTGCAGCGAAATGTCTAAAATTTTGGTTATTAAGATAATCTTCCATTTCAGGGATGAAATTAATAAACCACAGAATATATAACACAACTCACGCATGAACGCACATGCATACATATAAACCCCCCCACACACTTTATGCTAGATGCAGCATGCTGGTGTGCTGCTACATTCTTGCATATGTGACTGGCTTTAAGACTGTCCAGTTTGTCATGATGTCATTGTCAAGTAGGAATGGAAGAGGCACAAATGGTATAGCTTATAGCACAGGATACTGTTCGCATCTCTTCTATATAATGATTTATGCAGAATTCATTCATGTTTTATTAAATATTTTGTAAAACTCATGACTTAAAAGCAGGGAATATGGTAGGAGGATTTTAAATTGTATATTCAGCTGTTTTAATAAGCTATTATTCAAAGTTTGATTTCATTTGTGATTTTTCTGGTGCTTATTTTTCTATAAAATTGTTCATTTCATAGAAATATTTAAATTTATTGGCATGAATAATTATAACAGCCTGTTTTGATTTCTAAAAGCTTACATCTATATGCTTTTATTCTTCTCATA